TCTAAGTTTTATTTTATATGTGTAAATGTTTTGTCTCATGCATATATGGACACCATGTGCATGCAGTAACCTTCAGAGGCCATAAGAGGGTGTCAGGAACCCCTGGAACTGAGAGCTGAGACCTGAGTCTGAGTCCTCTGCAGGAGCAGCAAATGCTCTTAAACTCTGAGCCGTCCCTTCTGATTCTTAGGCCTTTCAGTCTTATCACCTAAGTGAATCAAATAGTCATAATTCTAAAATATTCTGTTTCTCTGCCGTACACATTGTCCCTCCAAGATTTTTTGGTGTTAATACAATGACCTTATTCAAGTATTCCCTTACGATTACTGTATATATTTTCAATAGACTTAATTCCATAGTTTGTTGTTTTTGTACTTGTTTTGAGACAAGGTCATTTGTCCCAGCCTGTCCTAGAATTTGCTAAGTAACTGTGGATGACCTTAAACTTTTGCTCCTCTGTTTCTACCACCTGTGTTCTGGGGCTACAGGCACTACTGTCAGTCAGCTTCCTATGTCTTCTTTTCTGAACCTATTTCTATTAGTTTTACTTAAAATACAAAATACACACAAATAGAGTTTGGTGATGGATTTTTTTCCCTCCCCCCTTTTGCTTTGTTTTGATTTGTGTGTGAATTAAACACAAGGTCTCTTGATTTGTGTGTAGTTAAATACAAGGTCTCACACCTTAGGCAAGCATTCTGCCAAATAGCAAATTACTGCCTTTCTAGCACCGTTTGCTTGGGCTATAATCCCGAGGAAGCTGCTAGTCAGTGAGAAGGCCCGCATAGGGCAGCACTGGGAAGGGCTCTTATCGCTGTAGCCTTCCCAGTGTGTGTTGTGAGGCTCTCAGACATCATTTTTACATCAGGTTTCCAGAGCCCCTGATTGAGACCAGGGAGATATTTGCAGCAGCCTCGTTGCTTGTTGGATGGCATTTTGCTGTCCTGTGGATGAGGGCAGCTTTCTAGTTTTTTTGATAATAAAAGCAGACATGAAAATCTATCCTTGGTACTCCTCCCACAAGTCAGTCTGCCCATCCATCATTTGCAGGCACAATTAGCATTTGAGGTGAAGTTCTGTTATACACTCAGGCTGTGGCTCTGAAAGTCAGTGCATCACAGAACTTTGTCTCGAAAGCTTTCTAGCAGCTGCCCCTTTGGGAAGTGAGAGGGAAGAATAGATCTTTTCAGCCCTTTGAATATGATCCTAAAATTGTAGGGTCTTTCCCAGGAGTCAGCATTTAATGTATTACAAGATCAAAGCCCAGTCCATGAATAAGCTCATTTCTTTTTTTTTTTTTAAGATTTTATTTATTTATTATGTATATAGTGTTCTGCCTACATGTATGCCTGCAGGCCAGAAGAGGGCACCAGATCTCATTGCAGGTGGTTGTGAGCCACCATGCAGTTGCTGGGAGTTGAACTCAGGACCTCTGTAAGAGAAGTCAGTGCTCTTAACCTATAAGCCATCTCTCCAGCCCAATGAAGCTCATTTCTTAGTATCTGGGAGTTATTTATAAATGTGCCCTTTGCAAAACTTAGAGTGAAATTACATTATCAGCAGTGGCTTCTGGCACCTTTGAACTGACTGACTTTATAACATGAAGGGAACTCTCAGACTTCCCACTTGTAAGAGATAAAGACCATAGGGTGAAGAGGGCCCAGCTAGAGTTAGGAGGTGGCAGGAGAAGTTGGGAGAGCTGGCTCTGCTGCAGCAGAGCGATGCCTTCAAGTGCATTCCTCCTGCCTAAGCCCTCAACTTTCCTTGTGACTTTTCTTTTGCAAATCTGCAATGGTCAGACCTTTGTCCTGCCTTCCCTCCCTTTCCCCTTCCCAGAATGTTGGTGCCTGAAAGCTGGTCTCTCCTTCCTCCTTACCCTGTCTTATTGTGCCCAAGAAGACTATGGGTTTCTGCTTTGAGGATTCTTTGATCACATCTTCTAGGAAGCTAGTGACAAGAGCCGGGAGCAGAACCCTGGGCTATGTTTCTCAGTTGTCAGCATGGCTGTTTAGGTGCTTAGACAGTGTTGGCCACAAGAAGTTGGCTCTCCTACTTGGCAGGTGGCCATTAGGGATTTTGGCGTGCGCTGGGGTGGGGGTGTATGCTCCCATTTCTTCCTGAAATGCCAAACTCTGGCTGTAAGAACAGTCACCAATGCCAGATTAAGGTCCAGTTTCAACTTGTGGGCAGCTAGCCCTCTGTGGTTGCCGTGAGTGTGGATGGAGGGCATAACCATTTCCTTTCACTGGGACTTTTGTCCATTAAGGAAACTTATTCCCATTGAGGGCTCAGTTTTGGTACTTGAGCTGCTAAGTTACTATAGCAAAGAGCCTGTCCTGTGTGGTGGTTTTTCTGTTTAGAACTAGGAGTTACAAGAGCAGCTTCTGTTTGTGCTGTCTCAGACTAGACCCAGAAGACTTCCCACTGCCAGACAGTACAGCTCCACAGTTGCAGAGGAGGTGTTCCTGTCCATTATTCCAGAGAGCAGTATGTCTGGAATGAACAGTTTTAAGTGTGTCAGAGGAGAGGTGACAGCACCCCAAATGGTCTCACTACAAAATCCACTTAGATGTAAAATCTGGTTCTATACACCATCACACCAAGAGATTTCTTTTTAAACTTTATTCTCAATTTTGAACAAATTTTGAGGAATATGCCAGGTATTGCTCCAGATACTTAGATGAACTGATGAACAAAATACAAAAATCAATGAATGTTTTTGTTTTTGTTTTGTTTGTTTTGTTTTTGTTTTTTTCTTTTTGAGACAGGGCCTCATCAAAAATTAGCGTTCTTAAGAGTTTAAATCAGGCCAGTGGTGGTGCACTCCTTTAATCCTAGCACTTGAGAGGCAGGGGCAGGCAAATCTCTGAGTTCAAGGCCAGCCTGGTCTACAAGAGCGAGTTCCAGGACAGTCAGGCTACACAAAGAAACCCTGTCTCAAAAAAAAAAAAAAAAGTTGGGAAGACAAAGATTTCATTTCTTAGGTCATTTTCTTTCTTTTGATTTTCGAGATAGGGTCTCTTCTGAGTTCTTGGACTAAGGTGTATGCCACCACTGCCCAGTTCTTATCTCTTTTTCTTTTTCTTTTTAAATTTATTTTACATTGGTGTTTTGCCTGCATGTAGGTCTGTGTAAGGGTGTTGGATCTTGGAGTTACAAACGGTTGTAAGCTTCCCTGTGGTTGCTGGAAGTTGAACCCCGATCCTCTGGAAGAACAGTCAGAGCTCTTAACCACTGAGCCATCTCTCCAGCCCTCCTATCCCATTTTCAGAAGACAAGGTTAGTGAGCTGGAGAGAGAGGTCAGCGGTTAAGAGTCACTGGCTTCTGCTGGGCAGTGGTAGCACATATCTTTAATTCCAGCACTCCAGAGGTAGAGGCAGATGGCTCTCTGTGAGTTCAAGAGCTGCCTGGTCTACAGAGTGAGTTCCAGGACAGCCAGAGCTACATAGTGAGGCACTGTCTCCAAAAAATAAATTAATTAACTAATTAATTAATTTTAAAAAGGGCATTGGCTTCCTTTCTAGAGGACTGGGGTTCAACTCCTAGCACCCATATGGCATCTGTAATCCCAGTTTTAGGGCCTGTTCTGTCCTCCAAGGTCACCAGCCATATAGATGGTGCACAAACATACGTGTAGAAAACACCCATACATATAAAATAATAACATAAGTGATGGCACTTAGGAGGCAGAGGCAGATGGATCTTGTGGGCTCGAGGACAGCCTGGGCTACATATTAAGAGACCCTATTAATAATAATAAATAAAAGTTAGAAAAGCCTGGTTACTTCCCATTCTCTTAAAGCTAAGGTTGCGTCTCTCTGTGGAGCCCCACCCCTCCGGAGCCTCACTTTACCTCTACAGGGCTGCAGTGTCTGGATCCTTTTTCTGCCTCATGTCTTTGTCAAACATGACCAGGAAAACAAAGCAAACAGTCTTGCCTTGGCACAAGAAGTAACAGAAAGTAGTATTTATTGGTGAGATTGTCAAATAACGTGAGTGACAGAGGCCTCTGTGCACAGCGCCAGCTCCTCCCACTCTTCCCTTCCGAAAGTTATGAGGACAGAGGAGAGAGCACCAGACTTAATAGACTCATGTTCCGTCTGTGGGCTGAGAGAGGTGTGAAGTGTCGGCACAGCTGCGGCTGGGGTGCCTGCGGGAGCCAGTGTCAGCTATGGCTGCGGTGCCTGC